GAAATAAAGTGTTTCAAACTTTATTAATTTCAGCTTACCGTTTCACCGTACACGGTAATTTTAAATGATTGATTACCGGTTAAAGGTTTAAACAACCCTAACAACCCTTTTTAAATATCAAACAACCCTCACTCAACGTGTTAATGCCGCGATAAATAAAGATGCTTTGTTATAGGAAAATAGAATAACAGGCAATGAATACCCTTATAAATAATTATATAATAGATTTATTTTCTTTAATAGCATTATATGATCTTGTATAGTTTTTTGCTGTTGCCAACTTATTTAATTTTTTTTTTATAGTCAGTTATATATCGCCTTATTTATTAAGAATACAAATTATTAAGTTAAGCCATTACAGATTACAACAAAATAATACAACATTAGTGTTGCTAGAATTTAGATTATATAGAACTTAGTTAAATACTGTATACATAGAGTGGATTAAAGTTGGGGAAAAATCATACTGTTTTAATAAATTCTTTCTATACCTACATAGAAACATTTCTACATATATCTCTATATGGAAAAAATATAAGAATATAAACGATTGTCATTTACGTGAAATTAATTAACGAGTACCTATAGTGCAATATTTATTAAATATAGTTTAAATATAAAAACAATTAATTAATAGAGTTTATCGACTTAAACCCAAACATAGTATGTTAATGCTTTACTAATAAAAATATTTATGAACGCACCTTTATATGAGTTAAATTGTGTATTAGCTGTTGGAGAAAACCCTTTATGTAAATACAAGATTACAAATCTACACATTAAACGACCTTCTTTTAAGTCAGTTAAAAACAATTGGAGCTAAATAATCTATAGATGGAATCACGGTTTGGCAAGTTATACAAGGTATAAAATCTGCTGAATTGAGAAACCTCCATCTTTTGAAGTTGGTTAATAAAAAATGTATTATTTGAATCACTTAAGTTAAAACACCGATAATACCTTATATAAGCCGTATCGTACCAATTGCCAACATACTTAGATCTTATTATTTTTGTTCAAGCTTACCAAAATTAATAATGAACTAAACGTAGTCAATATTATTAATAAGTTATATTAAACTTATAAATACTTTCATACCAGATATAATGTACAAAACATTCCGAAATAATTACAAATTTTTTCTTTCTTAGTCATTTTTAAATTGAATTTTCAGTTAGTGAGAATTTTTTAAAGAAGATAACAAGAAAAAAATATATATACCTATATTAATTCTTTATTTGTAATCTTGTCTGATTAAGAGATCCTTCTCCTCACAGATCTAAGAAGAAAAACAATTGTTTTTCATAAAAATAAAACAAAATGTATAGTAATTTGTTTAGAAATTTTATTAAGACTATCATACAAAATAATTACTTTAAGAGAGGAATTACAACAATTTAACAAAACCATTTAATCTTGATATAATTTAGATATAACTCATTTAAGTCTATACTATATCTATAATCAATAAATAACAAAAAAATAACATGATTAAATAACTCCTCATTACACAGTATAACAATTTACAATACAAAACCCATTAAAGTATTATTAGAGTAACAATATTTTGTATTAATCTTAAATAATTTTCATTAACTTCTATACAAGACTCGTAATCTAGTTGTAATAAATACAAGCAATCAAAACAATACAACAGTCATTAAAAATGTAATCACTAACAACCTATTTATTTCAAATCATCTCCATATACAGAATTAACCCGCAAGAAAGCTATTAGAATTTTATTGGTGTTTTCAAACAGGGCGCAACGAATCCTTAATTAAAAATACTATAATAACACAGGTTTTTTACTCAATACAACTTCTATTACGACCGGGTCTGGATCAAAAATAAAGAAAATACATAACAAGGAGCGTCTTATCACCAGCCTTCCATTAAGATACGCTATTAGTGGAGATTTGAAACGTAATTATAATGCGCTCATTTGTGATGTTGGTGCATGTAATCATCGGTTTAAATTAACAATACAGAATCTTCAAGCGATAATGTACCTTATTTTAATTGGATAAGACTTAAAGTCCTAGTTAGATTAACAAAATAGATGTAATGTCTCATGTGATAAAGTTTAAATAGATTGATTAATTTATTATACACGTAGAAGCATATACATATTGTAAATCTATTTATTGTAACTTAAGTAAAATCTATAAAAATTTTATCTTTATACAAATAATACGAATATAAAATATATTTTTTATACGAGAATTGCAATAAAAAATATGAAATAGAAATTTAATACAATCATTAATATATCACAATCTAATCAGATCTCTATACAAATGCAGAATCATTGGACCTTTTTTTTTCTAAATCAATACAAAATGAGTTTACCTGCGATTCATTTAATTGTTCAACAACCCCAAAATTTACCGCCCCCATACTCTTACCCCTCACAACGAAATAAGAACAGGTATTATTTATTTGCTGAACAATTTGAACCTTATAACTATAATAATAAAGTTGATTTTATAAATATATTATTTTCTAGCTGCATTGATAAGTTTGTCGTCAATCTTATTTGGTATGTGGGTGAAGCAACAAGTGCAAAAAGAACGTTTAGGGGTGATTTATACTCGCCTTTTATCATACTCCCCCTAATTTATTTCATCAAATTACGTAACTGAATTTCCCACACTTTAGTACAATAAGACTTCTTATGGATTAAGCCGGTCATAATTTTGTAGTTATGAGTAACTATAAAATATTAAGAGTACAGAAATTCTAATATGAAATGAAGGTTTGATTCTATATCGTAAATTATGTTCATTAATCTTAAGTTTACTTATCAAAAGTTATAACTTTGTTAAGCTGTGGTTTCGATTTAACCTGGTTAGAAATTCAATTTTTGACTTGTAACACAAAAAACATATAAGAATCTAATATATTTACATGAAGAATATATTGTAATAAAATGTTATAAAAGGACAAATCAGTACAAAAAAATCTAAGCATCAAATCGTATATTAAATCCCCTCATCGAAAGCAACAAGTGAAATCACACAATAACCTCCACCCCAGGATCCCACGCACTTGTCACGGTATGGGGCACAGACTTTTTCACTTTTTGATATGACGCAAGTGCATCTTCTACGAAATTTATTCTATTCATTGTTCCTCTTGGTTGAGCAGCTTTTTGCTTTTCTAGACGTGGGAATTACATCGGACTTGCAAAAAAACCACCAACCTCCAATCTGTAAATGGATAGATCATTAATGCAATTCACTTTAAAGGAATGGTCAAAGCTCTATTAATGTTCAAGTTTATAGGCGATGTTAAAAACAAACCATTATCTGTTAAGAGGTTATAAATTCTCGAGGAACTCTCTAATTGCCACTACCCAAATCATCTCATGTGATACTTTAATTGGTATAATTATATGAAAAAAACAAATGGAATCCAAATGCCAACCCTTAAAAACTTTACTAATAATGTTAAAATGACTCTAATAGTGATTTAATTGCAGCCCGGGTCTCCGCTGACCCCTTTTACACTTGTTTACATCTCCATCCCCTCGGAGCCCCCAAACGCGCTGAACCATCTAAATGGAATGTTTAATTCCAATCCCCGTACGATTTATTATAACAAAGCCGAACGGGATCGATCGCCCGCCTGCCATCTGTCGTCGTTCCGTATCGCGCCAAAAAAAGCTCAATGTGCGAGCAACCCTGGGAACCTAGGAACGGAGAGCATTCCCACGAACAACCCCTCAATTTTCAATAACCAAATTAGCCTTTGCGTTACCCTATTTCGGATATGAAGGAGTCGTGAATCTATTCATTTCCATAAAAACTATCCTCGGTCCCGCTCGTACGTGCCCCCTTCCCATATGTTCATCCCCCTCGAATGCACGTGTTCGTGTGTCGCTTGTGTGCGAGGCTCGCTGGCAGCACCTGCCGGCTCGAGCTCATCTCATTGGTCCTCACACACTATCACCGCTACACTGATTTCTTTTAGACATAATTTTTTATAATGCGTCTTCGGACATGCATTGAAAAAACGCTACATGTTTGGACCGGTACGACTCCGAAATGTTGTGCGTAGGTGGTACTAAAACTAATCTTTGTTTTTTATATTGGAATGCTGATGTAGATGCTTTGATTTGAATATTTTTATTAAATTAGATTCTGTGGTAAAAAGTATGTTTATGATGGGACAGCCGAAGATGACTATAAGGATATCTAATGTTGTTTTTGTGAGCCCTCAAATAAAATTAACTCATAGGTCAAATAAGATTCCATTAATCATGTATAGTTTGAGTGACCCTATGTTGAGGTGAGCAATGGCACGCGCGGGTAACCCCTGTAATTAGGGGAACGTACCCCATGACTTTGGACCCTAAAGTCCATTGTCTGCCGTCATGCCACTTAGTAATGAAGTGGTAACAGTATCAACTTTATTATTCAATATGAACACTAACTCAGGGCGCGTGTATCGCACGTGGACTGAACAGATACACTATAATATTTAGATTAAGGGACAATATCTTGTTTATAGTATAAAAAGGATAACTAATATGCAGTAGGAATTTATTATTATTGACAATTGACTCTATTACTATTAAAAAATAAAGTTACATAGTTATGAAGAAAATAATTCACCATTTTGACGAGATATATTTAGTATATATTTAAAACCTGTATTTAATCATTTTACTTAAATAATATCGTATTAATGTTCTAATCCATTTAAAAATACAAATGTTTATCATAACACAACAACAAATCCTAACTACTTACACTTGTTATCCTGTTAATAGTTAACATAACAGATATAAATGATAAGGCAGTTTCGTGTTTACAAAATGTATAATAGTCGAATAAAGCACTCCACACCCACACATGGGGTGGGGAGCTTTTCACGCATGCGCAGCTTTTGTGCCGGGGGCGGCCGGCCGGGTATAAATAGACGCGCGAACCGATCAGCCCTACATTCCCGCTTGTTAATTCACTAGCAACACACGCTCTCTCAAACTCACCAAAATGTCTTACTACGCGAATAACGAATACATCATCTCAACCAACAACTCTATCAACGAGAACAAGTACAACAGTGAGAAGATGAAAAACAGTGGCATCAAGGCTTTGTTGAAGCCATTGATGAGAATCATTAAGAAAACAACAAAACGATCTCCCGCCAAAACGATGGACACGTGTTACGAAGACGAACAGAACGCTTGCAATGAGGCTCTGGAGAGAAAGATCTACGATGACATGGACAGCTGTCAGTCCACCGCCTTCCTGGTCAACAACCAAGACAACACATTCGACCTCGTGCCGATCTCTCGTGAAGATTTCTACATCCCGGTTCACTTTGCCCGTACAGACGCCGGCACTTTCTTCTGGACAACCGTATCCAAGACCGAAGTTGACTTCGCTGACGCCCAATGTTACACGGAGTGCCAAACCGCTGAGCAACAGTACCCAGTCTTCCAAGACCGCTGGGTGCAAGCCTGAATACGGATATAAACAACTATCAGTGTCTTCCAAACGAACGAGTGCCTTCCGACTACAGTCTGTGATGTTAGCTTTACTATAGTGCCATAGTTAGGTATTACTTAGGTTAGTGATGACTCCACAAAGCTTTAATTGTATCTACGGTATTGTGATATTTTTTTTAATTGTATAAAATAATTTAGGTATATCGATCTTATTGTGATCATAGCCAGGAGCTTTAACTAGTTTTAGTAATTTATATTATTTATGTTACATTGATGTGTACGAAACGTGAATACGAAAATAAAATATTCATTAAAATATATTTACATCTTTTACTTTGACAATCCCTGATAAATTTTATATATCATATATTATAAACAAATAAATATATATATCAAAATTAAATAATAAACATCTTAGTAATTTCATTACTAAGGCCTAGTAGATTTAAACCGCTATTAAATAACGAGAGACTTTGGAATCTGATGCAGGCAAAAGTTGCTTGACAAGATACTTAATGGAGGCATGGCGCGAGCCAACCTACGTATATGTAATACATCAAATACAAACCAATATCCCAACTTTTATTCCAATCATCCAACCTATTGGCCACTATATAATGTTAGTGATAGCATTGGCACCCACGTATATTCCAATCATGCAAAGTATTGGCCACTATATAATATTGGTGATAGCATTGGCGCCAACGTATATTCCAATTATCCAAAGTATTGGCCACTATGTAATGTTGGTGATAGTATTGGCGCCAACATTGGTTCCAATAGTCCTATACTTGTCTGACCATACTCGGTAAACCGAGTTTCGTGCCTCGCACGTGCAAGCCCCGAGGCCTCGCTACTGAATTCTTGATGTTAATTTTTGGTTCCTTATATTCTTTTTATCATTTGGTTTAATAGCAGATTTTTAAGATAAAGTGTTATATTCAAATTTTAACCTTATTAGTTATTACCATTAAACTCTATTTTAATAATTGTTTTAATGAATAACGATTTATGTAAAGAATTAATGTGTATAGAAGATAAAACTGAAAATAAGTTTATGATACATTAGAAATATGTAAAGCTTTTTAATATTTGTATTATGGAAAAATCTTATAGGTCATAATAAAAAAACATAAATATCAGGAAAAATTATCTTATACATGCAAATAAATATAATATTTTAGCTAAAATCTACAACAACAAAATCAACTATTTAACTAGTACCATCTATAATTATTAGGATCACACAAATAAAAATATTAACCAAGATACGTCGGCCAAAACATTGATATAAATCATTTTCATCATCATCAATTAAACAGTATAAATTTAAAGGAAATTAATGTTTTCGGATTTACTTTACAGCAACTGTGATCACGGTTGCTGTAAAGTAACCGAAACGTCGGGAGTATGTAGTTTATAATCAAAAATAAAAATCACGTAGTAAATAAGAAAAATATTAGTTTCATTTAGGTAAATGAAAATCTTAGATCTCATTAGTATACTTATAAATAAAAAATCAAACATCGTCATACAAAACACACACAAACAGGAATCGACTACATCCTATGCAACTTCTTTTAAAATCTTGAAGCAAAACCGACCAGCCAACAGACGTGTTCAGACAAGTCACAACCTGTTACATCGTGCTTGCAATATCATGAAAAAGAAAAAGACTTTACGCAACAATAACACATAGTACATCACTATAAATACAATGAATGTGACAATTTAAAAACGCACGTGCAATTACAATGACTCTCTGTTCATTATGTAAAAATCTTTTCACGAATCTGCATAATACAGTTGAAAAATTATTTCTATTCTAATATAGTGTCGTGTACATGCAAATTAATGGCTTCTAATAAGTTATTAAACAAAACAAGACTTAAACTAATGAGAGTTGCAAAATTTCTAATGCCAACCGGTGTGACAATACGGCGACCAAAAACTTAATATTTGCATACCAAACTCGGACTGCGACAACTTTTACTTGACATGCTTGTAATATAAAACCTGATATGTTAATACATTAAAAGTAGCGGCGCACCGCTAGGCGCCCGGTCATAATCTTACGGCTATAGCCGCATAATAATACATTCGCTACGATCCGTGAGAATTTTCGGCAGATGTACAATTCCTTACGAGAGCGCGTATATTTTTTTTCTCTCTTAAACATCGTCCGTCCCTGGTTTCGTTCGCGTGACTCATCGACGCATTGTTACCGTTGCACGTGTTCGATGCGTTGGACTTTCGGGTTAGGAAAGGTTTTTTTTGGCAACCCTTATCTTTGAATTCCGCAACTCTTGCAAAATTTGGGTTAATTTTTTTTCGTAACATAGAGTACACGTGAGTATTGGATATAATGAAAGGAGTATCAATAATATAAAAGCTTACATGCACGTGCATTTCAAATACATAATATAAGAAAGAATAGCTTCACGTAGATAGGACACTAATAATTATTGCCAATTGCAATTACTTTTCTATAATTGTTGTAGCTGTGAACAAAAAAAGACAACACTGACCATAAAAGATGACGCGATGATGGAGACTAATTGGTTAACAACTCTAGAATTTTTTATTTACTAACTCTTATACTTATAATCTATTTTTACTTGGTTTACCTAGATCTATATATACACAAACTACTTTTAAGACTAAATCACATAAATACTATACACGAAATATACATAAGTAACAAATACCTAAGTCTAGAAATAAACATTATGGTAACAAAACTATACAATTTGAGGGAGCGCTAATATACAATAATCTACCGAAAGAAATATTTAACGAAAAATCTTTTTTGAAATTTAAGGCTAAATTAAAAGCATTATGTCAAACTTTATAATTATTATATTTGAATGTTTGTATAAATAAGGTCACCATTATAACTTTATAAATGTTTATTATTTATGTTACTAGTTTAAGTTTCCTATGTAAGTGAGTTTGTTCTTAATGGGAAATAAATCATCTCTAAACAGTTACCTCAAAAAAATCTTACAAATGTATCATAATCTTCATATTTGTAGTTTTATATCTGAATTCATTATGGCTAGATTTTTTTGGTCTTTTTTTATGCGTATTTGCGTCAACGATATGACGCAAATGATGATCAATTTATTAGGCTTAGTGTCAATTTATAACCAGTTCCAATAACGATTCTATTAATATCTTTGTTATAATAACACAATCTATTTTACTGTTAATTTAATCAACATCTATTTTTTCTGTAACCTGTTCCATATAAAAATAGATTTGATTTTTGATCAATCAATCGTTATTTATGTATTGATCAAAAAATATTTTTATAGATACGTCAATAATATATCTTTTTTATTATCATTAAAATTCTACTATTGAAATTTATTAATCTTCAGTTTGTTAAAATTCAAAATGACAAGTCATTACTCTATTAGATATAAAAACTTTGTTGTTAATCTAAATGACCACAGATAATTAAGGAGCATAGATAAAAAATAGTAAAGATTAAAGTAGTATTCTTCTTTGAATATATCTATTAGAATTCTTAATATATTTGTTTATTTCAAACAATATCTTTATTATTACACTAGCACCTGTACAATTGTTAAGTCAAAGTGAGATCATCTTATTTGTTCAGATGACTTCAATCGCAGTTAAGGGATTGACAATAACATTCATTAAATTACGATTCAAATGTTTACGATTCGATTAATTTCATTACAGTTTTTTGAATATGATCGTTTGGATTGGATTGTATCCGAATATTTTGATTGTCAGATTATTAAATTAATTTTTTTTGTTAAATATTTTTTCTATTTTTTGGGCATTATATTATATGATATTATTATTATTCATTATTACGTAAGTATATCTACAAGGTATCTTTAACAACATGGTACTTAGTAGATAATTAAGAAACCTTAAAAACAGCAAATATTATTTAGTAAATTCTCCTTATATTTATTAAGATATTAATAATATTGAGATTTTATTTCTTCGAATTTCAAAACACCGTATTCCCCTTAATGAAATTAAATAAATGAGTCACGTTGGCTGACACACACCGAACCATTGAAAAAGAGTGTTCGGAATTTGAACAATTTTAATTTATGGCAAAACTTCAAACGTAACTAATAATTTTAAAAAAAGAACTATTTTTAATAGGATTCGACAATTTTTTTTATGTTTGATTTTTTGTTACACAAGTGATATAAACATTATTTATAGCACCAAAATCAAAACACAATCTGTTCTAGATTTTCCTGTTCTATTTTTAAATTATCATCACGACCACTACACTTTTGATACGAGATTTCGATTCATTTTATCGCAATGATAAAAGCATCATTTGAGGTAAATTTCCATCACTGTAACAAATTCACATCACTCAAATCACTCTCACTCACTGGATCACCAAATCACTCTCACTCAATGCCACTCACTGTAAACACTAAAGGTATATTTTTCAAATCACTATACACTCAAGCTCCGTTACTTCCTGATAGGGATATCGAAATTCACTAAACATCTAACGGTACTAACTTTCAATATATACAGGATTCACCCTCGAATTTCGCAATATATTTTCCCACGTACCCTATATTCTTAAACTTTGACCTAAAGATGTTATTGTTCGCAAAACAATTGTCTTCTACTTCCGTCTCCCCTTCATGAGATGACAAGAATAGTTCACGCGGTATCCGATAGATGGCGTTATTTTAAATACTAATATTTTCTTTTAATCTTGCAATACTTTTACAAATATTAATAAATCTTCAACATTTAATAATCCTGGAAAATTCTGCAATAGTATATATATTCATTTTTAATATATAAACTTCTGATGTACTAAAAATGACGCTTGAAAATAATTCATTAATATATGCATTGTTTATTTTACACTTCATTCTCTCTGACTCATTCGGCGCACGCGTTGCTACTTCAAGTAATTACATAAACAATACCAGCTAAAGAACTATATAGATAATGGTACTCAATAGGATAACAGGAACGTGACTCAACTGTACT